GTCGCGAACAGCGCGCGCCCTTCGCAGGAGGCCTGGCTCCCGAGCGCAACTCGGCGAATCCTCCGAGCGCCCAGGGAAGACCTCGTCGGGGACGGCCGTCTCCCGTTGCGAGCAGTTGCTGGGGAAAGGATTAGAAGCCGCTGTCGCGCAAACAATGTAGACCTTCACGGCCCAAGACAGTGGAAATTATTGTAGATGGCCTTGATCTGTTGGAAATTATAGATTGGAATATTGTCTCTGCAATTGTGGGAGACATTAGCGGCAGCGTTGGTGTGAATGACAGTCATCTGCAAGCCGATCTTAGAGATTCGTCCCCCGCTACCATGGCACCACTGATGATTGCAATAGTTGTAGGCGAAAAATCTCGTAACGTTTTACAATAGACCATGCCACTCCATCTCGGAAAGTACTTTTAATTACTCCTATTTGTGTCTTGCTGAGGTGATTGAACTACTAGACTAACGGTTCGGAAAAATGAATGACCAATTTTCAGAACTTGATGGCTTGATGTTAGTGATGTTACATCATATATAAGAATGAAAGAACGATTAAGATTGTAACTGTGAATGCATAAAGTTTTGTTTTGTTGGACTTCGCCGTGTGTCTGGTACTGGTTATGTAACTAACAGGGCTTTACAAACGCAGTTGATGACGCTTCCCTTCTGTTTCGTGTTGTTGCCCACATGCACGGTCAAGGGTTCAAAAAGGGACTTCTGATGACGAGATTTGAATATTTTTGAAATAAAACAGTTTTACTATATTGTTTACTTTCAATACGCGCAGTTTGCGCAAACTTATTGAAAATTCTCAGGTTTTATGTCTGGAATTCTCTAGTTACATCGGTGAATAGGGGAATTTTCACGCTCTGATTTGCTCCATTTCGGAGTAAGATTAAAGCTGATGACGCGGCTTGCAAATCTCCACCGCATTGATTCATTTGCACGGACCTTACGAAGATAGAAAAGTGTCTACAAGAATGATAGTGAGCATGGGATGCGGCAGAAGGAATTGTGCACGGTCCATAGCCCGTATTTGCGGGTGCAGCGAGGGGAGACCAGAGCAAGGAGGAGGGACCAGAACAGAGAGACTACCGAATACGACTCCGGCGCCACGAATTCACCAACGTTTAACACACCTAGAACATTTATGAATCTTGCAAATGTTGCCAAAATCGAACCCCTTTTCTCTCAGTTGCTTCCTCAATACTAATTATAGTTAACATCTATTCACGTTATGTGTTATGTCTGAAACTTTGTTTCATTATAAACACACTTTCTGTGCTCTTCTGTGATTTTAGAACTGTAGTTGGAAGTTTTTGTTTGTGATTCTCACATATGGGTCACATAACATTGCCAGTACACTTTAAGTATATTTACACTGTAGTTCTTCATGAACATTTGTTGCGGATTCACAATACTTAACTAATTTGGACTGTAGCCTGCTGACGTCTATTTGAAAGGTAGTAGCCAAACTTATTGTGTTCGACTACTTTTGAGTTTAAAATTAACTTTCAAATATAAAACGATTTGCAAAAAAGTCTACGTAATTCATATCGCAATCTAGAAGATTGTGTTTAGTCATTTTGCTTCAAAATACAGCACCATGTTATCTAGCCATTTCTCCGTGTTAGAACTTCGTCAGTTCAGAGAGCATACAGAGGCTTCTCAATGCGGCACGTGGCGGTGAAAGAGCACACGGACAAAGAAATAACACAGTCTTAGTTCCCCTTCTTTACATTCGTCCGTGGCTCCCCCCAGCGAGCTCTGATCTTTGAGGCTGCGTCAGAGACACATGTCGCGCGACAGCGGGGTGACCCTCGCAGACGCCCGCGCCGAGAGCGCCGCTAGTGCTTAGATCTATCTGGCTCTAACTTAATTTGTCTACGGAGAATTGGTAATTAAAGCCGTCAAAGGGGAACGGAGGGGGGCGCGGCCCGCGCCGAGGCAAGGGCGGGGGCCGGGCGGGGTGTAGATGCGATGCCGCCCACTGACTGCTGCTCCGTCGCCGCGACCCCGCCGTCGCCACTTCGCCGCCCGCCACTCCCCTGCCGCCTCCCGCTTCCGCCACCCCGCTTCCGGCCTCCACTTCCCCTGCTTCCTCCCCGCTTTGCGCCACCCCACTGGCCGCCTCCCCGCTCGTGCCTCCCTACGCTCGTGGGCCTCCCCGACACGCCTCCAGCCTCCCCACTCTGAGTCGTGCTTCCATCCGGGCTGTCACACCCACTGCCGCAGCCCTGCCTCCGCGCTTCATCTCGCCGCTTCCGCCCCCCCTTACGCAACCGTCTCCCCTCACGGTCGCTCCGCCGTCTTTGCCCCATCCACCAACCCACAGGCACCATCACTATGAACACTGCCTATCGCTTTCACCCCCTCGCCATCGCCCCCACCCCCGCCTAACCGCCGCTGCCATACGCCTCATCTGGAACCCCGCCGCTGCGCCACCACCCTGCAGCAACACTCCCTCCTTGCCTTGTTTTTCCACTCTACGTTTCATCCCTCCCTCTCGCTCCTCCACCCATCCGCCCCGCTCCCCTCCTCCTGGTAGGCATGTTGGGGCGGCGACGGCGGTGGCGCGTGGGCGGGGACAAAGGGGGACGAGGCGGGGCCCGTACGGCGAGGGAAGGGGCGGCGCGTGGCGAGAAAGGAGGTGCGCGAAGAAAGGGCTGAAAGGACAAAGGGCGGCGAGGGCGAGTGCGAGGGCGGTGCCGGGCGCTAAAAAAATGACGCCAGGGAGCGGGCTGCTAGCCCGGGGGCAGGTGGCTAGATCCCTCTGCAGGCTTAGAAGCTGTTGGTATCTTGCAGAGGACGGGGAGTGTGTACATTGGGAGACGGGTTTTATGTGACAGATTAAAGTTTTCTTAAGGACTTTCTAGATGAATTTGCTCAGTGGTACTCTCTTCTCGAACGCCTTTGTCTCGTTTGTGATATGTCGATTTGACAAGTATTTTGCATATAAATAGGAGAGTAATATGTTCAGGCGTAATTTTTATTATTTACGTTTTTCTGTTTCATCAATGAAATATGCAATATAAATTGAGAGAGAAATACAATTACCAATACCCAGTGTTATATACCTAACAGACAACTTCATAGAGAACTGGGCATATAATCATCAACATATTACATTTCATTGCTCACGTCCTTCTATTGTAATCTCAAAACTGTCCCTTGCCCCAACCACTTCAACCTAGAAAAAAATAAACAGTGTTGCGTCTACAAGAATTAAATTCTGTCTCCCAAAAAACCTCCCCCGTCCCTCATAACCTACATAAATTAGTATCTTTTCTCTCTCCAACTCTATATCTTGCTTTCTCTCTTACCTTCAATTTTATAAAATTAACAATAATCGTCATAGAAGTACTCAGTGGGGATGTCCTCGATCAGAGATAGGGGTTTGATGGTGCGCTAATTTGCAGTTACTCGTTACTTCGGCCACTGTAATGCATCTATACATTATAATGTAAAATATAATACTTATTTGTAAAGTGGTAATCCCACTGATATGGTTAAATAAAATTTAAAAAAAGAGAAATACTTTTTCGAATGAAGAGAACGATTTATGCTGAACTATATTCATTGAAAATATATCTTGCATATTATCTCGTTTATATTACTGAGGCATCTAATTATTAAATGGAACTGTGATTTGTTTAATTAACCAATTAAGATAGTTAAGGATTATTTCTTGTGATATAGTCTTTTCTATTGGTTTAAGAAGAAAGAGTATTGTGAGGTGATATGGAAAAACGTAGAAAGAATTTGCATGAATGAGTAAACGAAACTAGCCCGAGATTGCTGCTGAGACTTTAAGAACCGTTGTGTTTATATTTTTAAACTGAACTATAATAGTATTTCTCTACAAGAGTAGATCAGAGTTTTCCTTTGAATGTAAGACAGAATCTGCAACGCCGCCGTTCTAATCATTGCTGCTGAGACAAATTATGTTTAGTAGAATTAACATTCCGAAACCGACTTTCTGTTAAACGAAAAATATCACTTTAGC